ACGCAGCGTTCAGAGAACACTCAGCAGCTTCAGGAGACATGGCAGCGTTTAGAGAACACTCAGGAGCTTCAGGAGACATGGCAGCATTTAGAGAACACTCAGGAGCTTCAGGAGACATGGCAGCGTTTACTGAAAGCTGCAGAAACCAAACGCTGAAGAAATATCTGTGTGTGTCTTTACATCGCTCTCTTCTGTCTGTTTGGTTTACATTAGGAGGGATCAGCGGGCTGGGTCACACACACACACACACACACACACACACACACACACACACACACACACACACACACACACACACACACACACACACACACACACACACACACACACACACACACACTACTTGTTAGACGCTTTTATCCAAAGCGACTAACATGCTCAATACTGTGGACAATCCCCACAGGAGCAGTTTGAGGTGAGGTGCCTCAGGGACACAACGACATGCTGACTGCAGTGGGGTTTGAACTCGCTATCCCCTGATTCAAAGTTCAGCGCACTATCCCACTGAGCCACAGCCTCCCCGCACACACACACGCACACCCTTCTCTCTTCTGTTTCCTTCTCTCCTCTTTTTCCACTGTCCTTATTTTTTCAACCCAAAATCACCCCGAGTGTTTCAGCTGTCTGCAGAGCTAATTCAATAATCTCTCTCACACACACACACACACACACACACACACACACACACACACACACACACACACACACACACACACACACACACACACACAGACACACAGACACTCACACTCACACTCACACACATCCTTTTTTATTATTGACTACAAGCGGGAGTGGGAACCGGTCTTGACGGACTCAATCATATCTTAAAGTTTAATTCTGGTTTATTGCACACTGACTATAGTTCATTAAAAGAAAATGACACCTTGCAGCGTTCATACAGATTCTTTGGAAATGTAAAATGCTGGGAAAATATTACAATTTAACTTTAATCTTTTTAAGATTAGCCAAATTTCTCTTAAAAAGCTGCAAAAGAACCTGTAAATGTGTCTCTTCTGTTTTACCCCCTCTCTTAATTTGCCTTCATTTATGTACAACAAAAAACTCTCTTCTTTTCTTTCTGTCTTCCGTCCTCTCTCTGGTTTCTGCTCTGTCATTAGATTGAATTCAGTTATAGACATCAGGCGGCTGACCTGCTGCACCCAGCCTCTCTCTCTCTCTCTCTCTCTCTCTCTCTCTCTCTCTCTCTGTGTTGGAGAGTGTGTGTGTGTGTGTGTTTGAGAGTGTGTCTGAATGTGTGTGAATGCTGCTCTGTTGTGAGATCCAGATGCGACAGCTGGCTCAGAGTCCAGTGTGTTTGTGATGAACCAGTAACTAGGGTTAAATCACTTTTTCGAAATAAGTACAATTTATAAAAATAAAAATATCTACGTTGTTTGAGACCGATGGAAAGAAGTAGTTGTGTACATCCAAGTACACATTTGAATTAATATTATTATTATAAATAAATATTAATATATTTATTTTATTTATAACTTATACAAACGTATTCACTCTTTTGCCCTGTCACAATTTTTACAATTATCCTTCTGCTCAATCTTCAATCCAAAGTATATACATAAAAAAACATGAAAGACGAGAACAAATAAATAATAACAATAATATATGTATATTCACATTTTCTTAAGTCATATTTTTTGAATTTATTCTGTGTGCACACATGGATCCTGAGATTAAAGCTCAAGCCGCTGACCAGTGATTATTAAAAATGTTAAGTATTCAGGAAGTCAGAATTTTGAGATTGAGAAAAAATCCGAATGATTAACTTTTTGTCGAACAATACAAACGACTAATGTCTGTTGTCCCTCCTGTGTGTCAGGTTGCTGCGGAGGTGTGAGGCGATGATCCAGCGCTACAGCAGAGAGCTGAACTCAGACGGAGCCGTGGGGAAAGCTGTGGAGGATTGCATGAGAGCCATCATCGGAGTACTGGTCAACCTCACACAGGACAACGGTGAGGACACACACACACACACACACACACACACACACACACACACACACACACACACACACACACACACACACACACACACACACACACGGTCATACTGTTGGTGCTCAGAGTTACTAACACTGCAACAAATTTCCCAAGCTTAGCAAAGACGTGACAGCCAGTAAATAGAGATAAACATTAGCAAATAAGAATCACACAATGAGTTTTGTTAAAGTGTGTTAACCCGTGAGTGTGTGTTTTGATGTGTGTTAACCCGTGAGTGTGTGTTTTGATGTGTGTTAACCCGTGAGTGTGTGTTAACCCGTGAGTGTGTGTTTTGATGTGTGTTAACCCATGAGTGTGTGTTTTGATGTGTGTTAACCCGTGAGTGTGTGTTTTGATGTGTGTTAACCCGTGAGTGTGTGTTTGATGTGTGTTAACCCGTGAGTGTGTGATTTGATGTGTGTGTGCAGAGTGGGGCAGCACAAAGACCGGAGAGCAGGAGGATTTAATCCTGACGGCGCTGAACTGTGTCCTCAAAGTGCCTCAGTATCTTCCTCAGGAGCAGAGGTTCGACATCCGAGTGCTGGTGAGGAACACGCACACGCGCACACATGCACATGCACACTCACACTCAGTCATAATGAAGTGTTAAACTGTGTTCTGTTATTTTCAGGGTCTGGGTCTGCTGATTAATCTGGTGGAATACAGTGCGAGGAACAAGTACTTCCTGATGGAGATGGAGATGGAGGGTCCCTGCGACGCCACCGTCCTCATCAACCCGCTCCAGGAATTAGCCAGCACCGGGCCGCTCAGCGCCATCGCAGCGCTGGTACAGGTATGCAACTCCAGATCCCTTTATTTTATTTTAATTATTTTATTTATTTTATTTATTTTATTTATTTTATTTATTTTATTTTATTTATTTTAAGCATGTTTCTCTGTCTTGTTTTATTTATTATTTTAACAAATTACAAGTACACACAAAATAACTAACTAAATATATAAAAACTAAAACATAAAACAAAATAAGTCCATAACTAATAAGTATTAAAAATCAAAAACAGATGTGATTTCCTCACCCTGTCCGGAGAGGTCGAAGGTCCTGGCGTGGGTCTGCACGCCGTCGGAGATCTCGATGGAGTATTTTCCCTTCTCCTTATCGGACGGATCACAGATCTGCATCCACGCCATCTCCGCTGTTCCTCCGATCCTCATCTTCTCAGAGGAGGCGATCTTACTCTCCCTGCAACCGTTATACATTACAGAAAGAAATCAGAGTCTCAAAGCAGAAACCAAAAACATCTACGGTGCAGAAGCTCAAAGAACGTAGATACAACTCCAAAACTGTGGAACATCCTACCAAGTGAATAAACATTTAAGACGCATAAGAGACAGCTGAAAACACACTTCTTCAACCTAGATTTAAATTGGCAATATTCCCGTCTGTTGGTTTTTCTTTATTACTTTTTTTGTCTGTTTATTCACCTTCTTGTATTCGATGACATCATGCATCATGGACGCTAATATCAGCATTTTCTGTTTAAGTGCTTTCATTATAATAATAACATAAGCACTGCAGGTCCATCCACCCTGTTGAAAGTGTGTAGAGCAGGGGTGTCAAACTCAATTTCAACTCGGGCCACATTAGCATCATGGTTGCACTCAAAGAGCCAGTTTTATACATAAGACTATATAATAATAAATGTATAAGTATTTAATATATATTAAATAATGTATTATATTACATTATTGCCTCTGCATTGGATTATTATCGGATAGGGTAATAACTTCATAATTAACCACGTCTGAAAGCAGAAGTCTACGGCAAATAATTGCAAGTCTCTTCAGTGCGTATGTCACAAAATGATTTTAAAAGAAAAGCCAAATTCTGAAGAAACAAAAAGTCTAATTTGAGATGCATTGTGGGGCATGTAGTTTATGGGCAATGTGCTTCTGTAAAGCGGCATGTAACTGTATAATAAACATATGATATTCTTTGCAAGCTCTTGTGGGGCCGGATGAAATGAAGTCGCGGGCCGGATTTGGCCCCCGGGCCTTGAGTTTGACACCCCTGCCTTAGAGCCTCACATCGTACAAGGAATTGTATATTTTTTCTCACAGTTTTTACTGCAGCTTAATTAGTGAGGGCAGCATTTTCTGACTGTGATTATATCGTCTGAGGTATTTCTCTCTGACAGCTGACGGCTCTGGATGTGAGTTTTTGCAGTGAAACCAGAACAACGACATGCATTTAACGCTTTAGTTTGAAGCTACAGTCGGTAAAAACAACCAATCAGAGTCAATTAGCCTGTAATGCAGAGTCAATCCTAACATATCTCACTCTACAGCCAAACAGTACACTTCAATATGCTTCTGAAATCATTTTAGGGGAGAAACAGGCCATGAATTTACTGAATCCTGGATGGTTAGATACTTGATATCTTTAAATGTCTTTTTTAGATATCCCCTTTAATATGATATGAAACAGAAAAAAATCCATAATTAGCCGGTTTAACATGAAATAAACGATTATTCTAATATCAGATAGTTCCTGTTTATTTTCATGTAGGTCAACGTATTCATTATTTGGCTAATTGTTGGAGCTCTAGTTCACAAACAAACCACTTTTTTTGTTTACACTAATACAAGCTTTGTAGTAGTTACATTTCCACTGACAAATGTAATATTTGAATCCTGTACACATGTTCAGTTCTAGGTGGAGTTAAATTAAGTATTTTAATTGAACTGTACTTGTGTTTCCAGGAGGTCTTCATCTCCTCTGTGTAGTAGTTCATGTAGCACTGCAGCCTGATGCCCTCTGGTGTGCACTGAAGCACCAGCTCAGAGGCAGAGGCACCTGAACACACACACACACACACACACACACACACACACACACACACACACACACACACACACACACTCACACACACACCCTCACACACACACACACACACACACATCTCACACACACACAACTCACACACACACACACACATACACATCTCACACACATACCTCTCACACACACACACACACACACATACCTCTCACACACACACACACACACATCTCACACACATACCTCTCACACACACACACAACTCCATCACCTCTGATTCAGATCTCCCNACTAGTTTTATATGTATGTTTTTCTGTGTGTTAACACCATGTTATTCTTCTCAGTGTGACGTCGGCACCACAGGACAGAAGTCCATCTCTCGGATCATTGACTACCTGGAGCACTGCTAGAGAGAAGCCCGACACACACACACATCTCACACACATACCTCTCATACACACACACACACACATCTCACACACATACCTCTCACACACACACACACACACACACATACCTCTCACACACACACACACACATCTCACACACATACCTCTCACACACACACACACACACACACATACACATCTCACACACATACCTCTCACACACACACACACACATCTCACACACATACCTCTCACACACACACACATCTCACACACATACCTCTCACACACATACACATCTCACACACATACCTCTCACACACACACACACACATCTCACACACATACCTCTCACACACACACACACACACACATCTCACACACATACATCTCACACACACAACTCCATCACCTCCGATTCAGATCTCCCTCTCCGTGACCTGTTACAGAAATCTGAAAGAAAAAGGGATTTATTTTTCCCTAAATCGACTTAAAATGATTTTATAGTTGCTCTAAATGAACGAGACACGTACCGCCTGTGATCAGGTGGTATAAGAAACATCCTATGGATTTGATCAGACGTACAATCCTAGCTTTCTAATTGAACATGTGACCATTCATTCCAAAGCCTGTCCCGTTAAAGTCTCAGAAAGCTCGACGTTAATTGTTTATTCTTTTCTATAAGAAACATCCAAGTTTCCTTCTTGAGCTGTGACTTTAAACGGTGGGTTAGTTAAACAGTAAAAGAACCCATTTTATAGTTTTAATGTCAAATTCATATTTCGTCCCTTCAGAAAAGTCTCCGAAAGCTCGACGTTAAAATCAACTTTATTTTTTATATTTTATTCTAATATCAATTTGGAGCGAAATCACATTAGTGACGAATTTACATAGAAATGAATTCCTGTTCCTGTGACTCACGACTCAGCGACCGGAAACAGAATGTTTGATAAAAGATCAGATTCAAGTCCGTAGTTTTATTTATTGTTTCCACCGTTTTTGTTTGTTTTAATTTGAATGTAAATCAGATCGTTCTCGTCAAAATTAAGTTAGAATCTTTTTTTTTTTTGTTATACGTCCTCCCCGTCATCCTCAGTCAGAAACCATCGCTCTGAACAACGGGTTTCCGGACAATCTTATTTATTACTTTTTCTCCTCTTCCTCCTCCTCCTCCTCTTCCTCCTCTTCCTCTTCCTCCTCTTCCTCTTCCTCACCTCAGATTGCAGTTTTTTGTTGAAGTTGTTTTGAGGCGTAAGAGTAGTCGATTCTTCCTCCTCCTCTCGTCTGCCGCTGACTTTTTTAAATCTGTTTTCCCAGCATGCATCAGGGCACAATGACCCTTGTTCTCCATCAAAGCGCCGTGTCTCCGACCCTCACCTCCTCTCAGTCACAGCAGAGGAGCGTCTGATCTCTCCACCTGCAGAGAGGCTTTTCAAAAACAACACGTTGACACCTCAATGTTTCTCTTTCGCTTGTTTTTCAGAAATGATTCAATTCTGGCTGAAAAACCACAAAGTTTGTATTTTGTTGTTCAGGGAAAAGCCTCCTCTGAGACGTCTCATCGGTCTGCACACAGGAGGAAGAATCCAAGTGTTGCACACGTCCCTAATCCTGCGTTTCCATTCCCAGGACGCCTGAAGCGGCAAAGTGTTTATTCCAACATTACAATATAAATCCTTATTCCCTCTCCGTGTGAGGACGATTCCAATCGCTCTTCAGACTTCAAAGATATGATTCAGCAGATTAATTTTGAATTTTGACTTCACGAAACAAGAGTGAAATAATTTGTCCCTTAAATTTGCCCCAAAAGTCTCAGAACACCCGACGCTATTCAGTTTGTCTCTTCTCCACAAAACGGATTTTTATTTTATTTGCACCTCTCGTCTAAACTCAGTCGATTCATCTGTTTTTCTAATGATACGTTTTCCTCCATCAGGACGGAGAACAGAAAGTCTGTCCTTAGTTTTATTTATTTTTTGAAAGATCCACGGAGGGGTCAGTGTCTCTGAATTGGAAAAACTCTCATCCCGTTAACTTGCATTCATCCGTTCATCACACACACACACACACACACACACACACACACACACACACACACACCCACACACACATCAGAAACTAACGCGAATAACATTGTTACGGAAGAAACTACGACGAACGTTGCATTATTTTCGTTTGTAAAAGATTTAACCAGTTATTTCATAAAGAATAGATGTTGAGTTAGGTGTAATATTTTGGAGCCTTTTTATGTCTAATTATTCTGTGAGTTTTGAGAAAACTTACTTTACAGTCCGTATTCCTTTCCTCTCTGCCTGTCTTCATGACTTTCATAGTTAAACATAGTAAATGTTTTTAATTTATTTGTTCCTATTAGGTTTCTGTAAGCGCGTTTGATCCATGTTTCTAGTTTCACGACGGCAGGCCCGTTTTGTGCGTGTGGAACGCCTCCTGCTGCCGAATCTTTCCTCTCAGCTAAAGTCTTTCTCTCTCTCTCCCTCTCCCTCGTCTTCTCTCATCTCGATGTCCCATGCTGTAAATTTCAATTGGGGGGGGGTGTATGCAGTCGTGGAGACGAGGATGTGCTCGTTGTAGTACATGTACGGGGTAATATGGTTGTTTAAGCAGGTAAGCAAGAGTTCCTGCCAACTTTTATTTCGAGATTTTTCTCTACCGACGAACCCGACACACACAACACGAACCACACACCANACACATAGCTAGTTCTGTTAAAAACAAAACTGATTTTTTATTTTTTTGTCTCCCTCCACTTGATATGATTTTTTAACTCCACTTCATGGATTTAAAAAAAAAAAAAAGACACTCCAAAAATAAAAGCCAAGAAGACAAGTTCAGCAACAAAACAAATCAAAAAGAAGTACAATCATCGCTTCACAGCAGGAAACATTTGTCGGGGTGAAGACAAATGTTTTGTTCCTTTCATTGTTTTTTTCAATCCCTTGTGTGTTTACATTGATGAAATCTTGAAAAAAAGTAATTATGCCTGTTTGAGTTATGAAGGAAAACAATGTGACTGCCCTGTGTAGCACAGAGAATATACACACAAATGCACAGACACACACACACACACACACTTTAAGATATTTGCACATAACCCTTGAATTCCTTAATGCTCAATGTGGAGCTTAATACACACTTGCACATTGTTTATATAGGCAACAGCAGTGGGCACACCTCAAGCACTGAGGGGTGGGAGGGAAGAACATTTGACAAGTTAACCCCCCACAAAAAGAAATGGAGGACAGGTAGGATAAAGGAAACACTACGTGGGTGTGTGTAAGTACTGTGTGTGTGTGTGTGTGTGTGTGTGTGTGTGTGTGTGTGTGTGTGTGTGTGTGTGTGTGTGTGTGTGTGTGTGAGAGAGAGGGTATAATAGTGTGTGTGTGTGTGTGTGTGTGTGTGTGTGTGTGTGTGTGTGTGTGTGTGTGTGTGTGTGTGTGTGTGTGTGTGTGTGTGTGTGTGTGTGTGAGAGAGAGAGGAGTAACTGACAAGAGAAGAAGAAGAGGTGAGTATAGGAGATAAAGAAAGATGGATTCCATATTCAACTAACCTAAGCCATCTCATTCCCTCAATTACACACAGTGGGATTTTCTTCTGGTCAAATTTCTTATTAGTTCCCAAATTAAACATTGCCCATGACTCTTCAGTGAGGGTGTCTGCAGTATGTTCACTGTGATTGCCCTCTTGAGGCACAAAGCCCATGACCAGCCCCTATCATACATCCTGTCATGTATCCCAGACTCAGGCGCACCTAACACGGTAATAAGACACTTGTAGCCTGCATCGATGACTTCAGCGCAGCCCCGCCGCCATATAACTGCTATATAAATCTGCACAAAAACACCAGTTGGTGCTGTCACTTGTGAAAGAAATCCAAGTTTCCCCTGTCAGTTCTCAGAACCACAACCAATATTTACCCCCTTGGTTGATTGACAAGGAAAATGCCAGGCGTGGGCTGGTGATTCAGAGAGGCCAAGTAATGGGACTCTTTCTATGTTGGAGATGTGAGGTGGGCGACTTAATGACTAGGGGAGAGGTGGTGGGCGAGATGTCTCCATTGTGCTGCCTGGTCCATGCACACAACGCTGTTGCTCGACTGGCGGAGTGCAGCTGGCTGTTAATTATTCAGACGCTCCCGTCCTCAAAGAGGTGAGTGATTGACAGGACGCCATCTGTGGTCGCAGTGAGGAAGAGGGCGAGGCTGCCGTCTCTGTGGCTCCACATCTTTGCTGCTAGCGGAGGTTTAATTTATATACAGAACACCTGAACTGAATGATATGTGTAAGGAATCTAACTACTCACTTAATTACACACTTAACACATCATCTACCTACCTACCTACCTACCTACCTACCTACCTACCTACCTACCTACCTACCTACCTACCTACCTACATCTAAATACATATCTACCTACCTACATATACCTATCTATCTATCTATCTATCTATCTATCTATCTATCTATCTATCTATCTATCTTGATTGAAATATGGGCTTACCCCCCACTGTTTGTAATGTGCGGGGGCAGTGGATGGATAATTGTGCCATGGAGGGTTTGTAGTGCCCATGTCTGCATGTCACAGGTACACACTGAAGGGAGGACCAGCGCACCAAGGCAAGCTTGTCATTGAAAGCAATAATATTAAGTTGAACCTAAAATGTTCATCTTAACTTAAAATGATTGCTTTAAACTACAGTTATGTGAAATCTGTTGACATAATACATATAATTAAAGTCAACTTTTCAGTTTTTCTCTATCCATCCATCCATCTATCTATCTATCTATCTATCTATCTATCTATCTATCTATCTATCTATCTATCTATCCATCCATCCATCCATCCATCTATCTATCTATCTATCTATCTATCCATCTATCTATCCATTCATCTATCCATCTATCTAATGAACACTAATCTTGATCTAAACCTATCCTGCAACTGTCATGCGACTTTAATTAACAAACGTGTGCTCATGCTCACGGTTGTGGAGACTATCCGTGTCACAATCCTCTCTAGCTTGCTGTATACTCATGCACTCATTGGCTGGGGTAATGGAAAAGTACTGGGCCCTAATAGACTTGCAACATGGACTTTGCCCATGAGACCCGAATGAGCCTGTAGATAGTTGGTAAACAATGGATAATTTGGATAATATATGGGAATAAGACGTGCTTTGCTGTAAAGGACGTGAGCAGGGGATTTAGAGCAACGATAATCGTCATATATAATTATCACTGTGTATATAGCTTATTTGTACACTGACTCTGGTGCTGAAACATTTTGCCATTTGTCACAAAATTATAATCTGTCACATATCCATCATAATTTATTTCTATTGTATATTGCGCTGATGCAACTTCTTTATAACAACAAACCAGCCTCTTGAGACAGAATGCTGACTGAAATGCAAGCAAATCTCTGTCATAAACTGAAATGTTACCTTACAGGACACACTCAATTGAACAGAGTGTGACAGCACAGGGACCATGTTCGGTTAACACGATATTATGTAGCGAAAAGACAAAAAATACCAGCCTGGATTGACTTGAATAGAAAACAAATGATTAATTCTTCATTCCCTGGATCTGAAGCGTCTGAACACATATAGTTTACTGAGCTGACATTACAGCTTGCCCAAATAGTTTCAGAGCAGGGTTTGAAATCGATGCGCAATTAGGAGTGTCTTGTATCAGGCATGATGAATTATGCTCTCTGTTCTAAGGCTGGTCTATAGACACTTGATCAATTCAGCTTCTGGGGACCTGGTAAAGCAAGCCGGGGAGAAATTGCTCTATTCCAAAGCCATTTGGTCGAATGTATTGATTAACCATTGCATTTAGAATTGAAAGTCGGTCCGGGATCTGTTCTGGGAGGGTGTTGTAGGAAAAGCTACAGCATGAGCCTGCCACATACTAAATGGAGAAAGCAGTACATTGATACCTTCTCCGGGCTTTGCTTCTTGCTAATTTACAGTCTTTGCTTCGGCAATGATGTGTTGAGAAAAGGCTCGGTGCTTTCAAACTGTTCAATGTATTTCAAAGTATTTGACTAATCCTGTAAAAAAAAAAATCCATCTCTTAACACTGCACTGGTTTGTTAAGAAAAACAAAAAGTGCCATTCAATAACAACTAAATAAATTCAACTCCTTTTCAACCCATGTAAACCCATTAAATAAATCTCCCCATGACCAACAGTATGGTTGCCACACAATGCTATACACGTTAAAGTGGCACTATGTGCTAGTTTTGCAAGCTCTAAACAACAGCCTCGTGGCACCTTATTAACAAAGTAAACAGATCATAACCTTCAGCTGCAGAAGCCAATCAACACTTTCTCATCAGGGCGCGCCGAATGTAATTAGGGGCCGAGCAAACGTCTTGTTTATATCACCGTAAACTCATTGAACCCCAGTTGGGTTATTATTTATACACTTGAAGTAGGCCAGACTGTGTTTGCGATCAAGGCTATGTTAATGCTATTCATTACATAGCGCAACCATAAATAGTGTGTGGTACACCATCCCCTGGGAGGGACCACAGTGCCCAAGTTTGGAAATGCAATATGAGCGCCTGCCTGTCTCCCTTCTCTAACTAGAGGGTTCACAGTCATCCCATCTCCCCCTGGCTCTCAGCTTTTGTTTTATTGTCAGGGTATCCTCCCACAGGCCCGTTGTGCAGGGTGTTCTCTCAACAGCATCCTCTTCTACCCTCAAATTGAGCACCCAGGGGATCTGCTGCCTCCTTGTCTACACTCTCTCCAGTCCTCCTCACCAGCGTGATTCATCTACATACACCATGACTCATGAAAACATGTTCTTTTGCTGTTTGTGTGTACAAATGCCCACATTCTGTTTGTAATCACTCCTCAATTTCAAGTCATATTGCCTGTATCACCACCATCTGGACCATTCAACCATGAACACAACATACAATGTTTGCTTGTTTCTTTTTTTCAAAATCCACCCATACACGAACATTGACGTGCTTTTTTTAAACCCACATGGAGAAACATGACAGAATGTTGTTTTTTTTGTCCGTTTTCATTTTGACATTTTGACATTTTCTTCAATTTTTTGTTATTTTTCT